CTCCCCCCTCCCTCCTCCCTCCTCCCTCCTCCCTCCTCCTGCCTCCCTCCTCCCTCCGCCCTCCTCCCTCATCCTTCCGCCCTCCTTCCTCCTCCCTCCTCCCTCCTCCCTCCTCCCTCCTCCCTCCCACGGGCCGACGCCGTTCCATCCTGGTTTTGGGGAAAAGCGCAAGGGACGCCCGGGGCGCCACTAAGAGTTAGTGGAATTCGACGAGCCCCCTTTTTCCAGGGAACGGCAGGGCGACAGTGGCGTAGGAAGTTGGTCCGCGTAGATGGCCGGAAATCGGCCTTCCTGCCGTTGCAGGCGCGGCAACAAAGCCAGTACTGGAATCCTGTAGGACCAGCTCGGGAAGGCCATTCCTGTAGAATGACAGGGGTTGGCATCAACCACCTTGAGCCCGCAGCTAGCACGCACATGCAGGGCATTCGAGGTAACTGGTCCGCGTACATGGCGCGGCAAATTCAGGGCCAGCCCTGTAGATGGCCAACACTGGCTGCTACACTTCTTGGTAAGCCAGCTTAGGCTTCAATGGTCAGCCCGGTCGTTGGACAGGAGCTGGCATCCACAATCTCGAGCCCACAGCTTGGATTGCAAGCCCTGTCTCCAGGCAGGCTTCGGCATCCTGCCCTCGCAACGAGGGCCCAGTTGAGAGACCAACGAATCTGGTCCGCGAGAATGGCCGAAGCTCGGCCCCCCTGCCGCGGCGGGCGTGTCAACTATATGCCACTCTTGGCATCCCGCGGGAGCCAGATTGGGCTTGGATGGCCATCCTTTACTATCGATGGACAGGCGTGGCCATCAAACATCGAGCCCATCAGAGGGGATGCAAGCTTGTCTTATGGCAGGCTTGACACCCGACCCTCGCAGCAAGAGCACAGCTGGGCATTCGAGGGACCGGGCCCGGCGAGATGGCCCCAAATCGACCATCCTGCCGTTGCGGGCGCGGCAACTTGATACCAGTCGTAGTACCCAGTGGGTGCCAAGTCTGGCTTGCACGGTCAACCCTGTCAGTACTGGCGCCCTGTGGGGGGCCAGTTCGGGTTTGATGACCACCCCTGTCGAGTGACAGGGGTTGGCATCCACATCCTCGAGCCTAGAGCTAGGATACCCGCCCCTGCCTCCAGGGGACCCTTCGGCTGCCCGACCGCACAACGAGGGCAAAACTAGGCACCCGAGGAACCTGGTCCGCATAGATGGCCCAAGCTCGGCCATCCTGCCGTTGCGGGCGCGGCAGCTGTATGCCACTACTGGTATCCCGTGGGAGCCAGATTTGGCTTGGATGGCCACCCCTGTCGATGGACAGGCGTTGGCATCCAAAGGCGGCGCTCCGAAGGGGGCAGGAGGACGGGGCTTGGCTTCTCAGCAGGCAGGGTGCTTCTCAGAAGCCCTGGGAGGACTTCTCTTTCGTCCTCCGGGGGGTTCTGTGAATCACGTTTCTTACTAGATAGCCTTGCCCAGATTCCCTCCTGGCCCCTTCGGCGCGCCGCCAACATCTCGTAGCCCGCAGCCAGGGTGCCTAAACCTGTTCTTTGGCAGGCCTGGCATCCAAACCCTCGCAACGAGGGCACAACTGGGCATTCGAGGAAACTGGTCCGCGTAGACGGCCGGAGCTCGGCCATCCTGCCGTTGCGGGCGCGGCAGCTGTCTGCCAGTCCTGGTATCCTGTGGGAGCCGGCTTTGGCTTGGATGGCCAGCCCTGTCAGTTGACGGGCGCTGGCGTCCACAACCTCGAGCCTAGAGCTACGATGCCCGCCCCTGTCTCCAGGGGACCTGCGGCATCCTGCCCTCACAACGAAGGCAAAACTCGGCACCCGAAGAACCTGGTCCGCATAGATGGCCGAAGCTCGGCCATCCGGCCGTTGCGGGCGCCAGCGGAGTCCCGCGTGACGCGGAGCGGTGCCATAAGGTTAGGGGTTCGCGGGCTGCGGGCGACCCACATGCCGCTACCTGGGCCTAGTGCGACGCAGGAGCGACCCGATTTGGGTCAAAGTGTAGGTCAGCTGAGGCGCGGATGACCTGCATGCCACCAACCAGAGCCCGTGTGACACGGGACGGCACCGCGCAGGCCAAGGCGTGAGTTCGCTGCGCTGCGGGCGACCCGCACGCCACTAGCCAAGTCCCGTGTGACATGTGACGGCCCTTGGTCGGGAGCGATGGCGTAGGCTCGCGGTATTGCGAGTAACCCGCATGCTAGAAGCCAAGTCTCGCGCGACGCGGGGCGGAAATTAGGGCGGTCATTCGCCAATCAGCGCAGCAGGTGGCGGACAACTCGTGCCCCCTAGAGCGTAGAACCTCGGCCACGCTCATCGGACAACACTTCGGCAACATGGCTTAGCATGCTGCAGGCGCGTCAGAAAAGCAATGAGACTACATTCTTCACAACAAGACACACCGCACAATTAACGAAGATGCCCGCCCCTGCCGATGGGCATGCGTCGGCAGATCGTCGCCGTTATGAGGGCGGAAAAATGCTGCATCGTGGAACCAGTCGATGGGGAGGCACGGGAACCTACCCCCTCGCAACGAGGGCAAAAGGTGCCTGCGAACGTTACAATGGGCACACAAGCCCACATGTACCCTCACGTCGAGTGATACGGGGTTAAGGCGCCCCTTAAGCCATATCATTTCAAGTCCCCCCTTCTCCCTCCCCCCTCCTCCCTCCTCCCTCCGCCCTCCTCCCTCCTCCCTCCTCCTTCCTCCCTCCTCCCTCCTTCATCCTCCCTCCTCCCTCCTCCCTCCTCCCTCCTCCCTCCTCCCTGGTACCTCCTCCCTGCCCCCTCCATCATCCTCCCCCTCCTCCCTCCTCCCTCCTCCTCCCCCCTCCTCCCTCCTCCCCCCCTCCTCCCTCCTCCCCCTCTCCTCCTCCGTCCTCCCTCCTCCCTCCCCCTCCTCCCTCCTCCCTCCTCCCTGCTCCTCCTCCCTCCTCCCTCCTCGCTCCCTCCTCGCTCCTCCTTGATCCCTCCTCCCCTCCTCCTCCTCCTCCTCCTCCTCCTCCTCCTCCTCCTCCTCCTCCTCCTCCTCCTCCTCCACCTCCACCTCTCCTCCTCCTCTCCTCCTCCTCCTCCCTCCTCCTCCTCCTCCTCTCCTCCTCCTCTCCTCCTCCTCCTCCTCCTCCTCCTCCTCCTCCCTCCTCCTCCTCCTCCTCCCTCCTCCTCCTCCTCCTCCTCCTCCTCCTCCTCCTCCTCTTCCCCTCCTCCTCCTCCTCCTCCTCCTCCTCCTCCTCCTCCTCCTCATCATCATCATCAATCATCATCATCATCCACACTCATCCATCCTCATCCTCTCCTCATCCTCATCTCATCATCCTCATCCTCATCCTCATCCTCTTCCTCCTCCTCATCATCCTCCTCTTGCTCCTCCTCCTCCTCCTCCTCCTCATCCTCATCCTCCTCCTCCTCCTCCTCCTTCTCCTCCTCCTCCTCCTCCTCCTCCTCCTCCTCCTCCTCCCCCTCCCCCTCTTTCCTTCCTTTTCCTCCTCTTCTGATCGAGCCCCGCTCGATCATTGCACCCTGCGCTCCCCCCACCCCAAAGGGGCCTCGGTCGTGCCCTCCTCGAGGTGCCTGGGCGGCGCGGCGCGCGAAAAACGGAGGCGGGGCGGCGGGGTGTGGGGGGGGTGGGCTGCCCCTCAGAGTATGTTGCTCCCACCGTACGTGAGGTCCACATCCCAGAAAGCATGTCGAGCACCAAGAAGAGTGTCGAGAGAGAGTGTCGAAGCGGTGTCGGGCGAGAGTATCTGCCAGGGCCCGACGCGTGAAAACCCTCGAGCTTCGGCACTTCTCTGGTGCTCGAGAGTCCTTCTGGCGGTCAAGGCTGAAGCAGGCTGGAACATCGTCATCCTCGGAGGAGGCGCGGGGGGGGTGGGCCACGGCCGGACCCAGGGCAGAACCACGCCCTTCAGTCGGGGAAGCGTCAGACTCGGGCACCGCGGGTTCGTGTCGTGTCGGCCGGGGCGCTGGTTCCCGACACCGTGGGGATCGTTCAACCTTGAAGGATCGGGCGTCTCCGAGCATCGTTCCACCGATCCCCAAACAGCATGAGCAAAAAAATTGGCGCTCCGCGCGGATCTCTTGGATCCGCGCCGCCAGGGGGCGCGGATCCAAGAAAAATCCGCGCGGAGCGCCCAAAGCTTATGTGTATGCCGCTTTCTCTTCTTCGACATTTCTGCGCCCAGCCCTGGGCGTCCGCCCGGGCCCGCCGAGCGTCGCTCCACCGATCCCCATCCCCAACGGCGTGGCCTGGGCCCCACTGGCCGATTTTCCCCCCCTGGATGGGGATACAGGTCGTTCCCTGCGGGATTCGAGGGGTGTATCCCCAACTGGGGGAGAGGGGGCTAATTAGGTGAGGGTCTCGAAGGGGATGAGGATGGGGATGGGGGTCGGTTAAACGATACTGACCCGCGACGGCCCCACGTTCCCGGGGGGGGGCCGAGAAAAAAACGGGGCGGGCGGGCAGCCGCCCAGCGGCGCGCGAGAAGACACCGCGGCGCCCGGCGCTCGGGGTCGCCCCGCCCCGCTGCGGTCGGATCCCCGACGTCGCGCTTGTTTTCCGCGAGGGCGCCGCTGGGGGCGAATAGCCCCCTTTTGGTACCGTTTTGGGGCCCTCTTGGGCTGTTTTGGGCGCCTCTTGGGCGGTCTTGGGGCCCTCTTGGCCCTCCCTGGGACCCTCTTGGTAAACCCTAAACCCTACACGCCCGTTCGTACATATGTTTTAAAATGCTAGACAGAAAAATCGCCCGCGCTGTCCGCCCTGGGGGCTACTTTTTAAACGCCCATTCCGTGCGCGCCCGCACACGTATTCGGCCCCTCCTGCATGGCGGCCACTTCCTCAACCCCCTATCCCATGCGTGCCCGCTCGAGAATCCGGCCCCTCCCGCTTAAGGATCACGCCCCTCCCGCGCGGCAGCGAATTCCGAAACCCCCATTCCACGCGTGCCCGCTCGAGGATCGTGCCCCCGCCGTTTGAAGATCGTGCCCGATCCCGCGTGGCGGTTAATTCCTAAGCCCCCCGTTCGAGGATCGTGTCCCCTCCCGCTCGGGACTTTTCCCCCGCCCCACCCACGCCCCCCCCGCCCCCCGCGTGGCGGTTAATTCCCAACCCCCATCCCGTGCGTGCCCGCTCGAGGATCGTGCCCCTCCCACTCGAGGATCGAAAGGTTCCCGCACGGCGGCTAATTCCTACCTCCCGCCCCTATCCCATGCGCGCCCGTCACCCCCGTGCGCGCCCGCTGGAGGACGGTGCGCTTCCCGCGCGTCGGCGAATTCTCCGACGTGAGTTCCACGCGGGCGCGCTCGAGGATTGTCGCGGCAGCCGACATAGAGCGCACGTTGACTGTATATCTTCGAATGAGATGGGTATCCAGGGTAGGTGGGATGTGAGCGCCGCGGCAAAATGCTCCGCATCGAGCATATTGCGCCGCTCTTGCTGGTTGGGACTAAGATCCTATAAAGATTTAAATCCTGAAACTCCCACCGCGCTCCTTCCGCACTCCCTTATGCCGCCCCTCATTTCGGCGCACCCCTCACGCAGATCCTTGCCCTCGGAGTGCCAGGAATGGCGTTTTGGGAGTGCAAAACGCAGGGCGCACCCCTCACGCAGATCCTTGCCAAGGCGTCGGTAAGTTGCTGCGGGGAACTACTCGTTTGTGTCGCTTCGCGCGCGCGCGTCGCATCGCCCTTGCATCGGACTTCGCGCACCGTGCCGCAGTGCAAAGGATGCGAACTGGGGATCCGTCTCCTCGAGGCAAACGAGCTATCCCGCGCTCGTTGCGCAGCCAGTCCATGCAATCTCACCGCCGCTGGGCGGCGTCCCTGCGACGCACAGGGACTCGCGTAACTATACGTTGTTCTTCAAATCGCGTCGTCGCGCGCGCGTGCCGCATCGCTGTTGCAGCGGCCTCCCAGAAGACTTTGCGCGACTGTCGTCGTCGTTGTGTTGTTGTTGGGGTTGACGGCCAGACCTATGGGCCCCCCAACCGCCACCTCCGGCACAAGAAGCCGCAGGGTGGAAGCAATATACAAAGACCGAGCGCCGATCGAGACCACAAGGAGGATGAGGCAGGGCGGCCAAAGAAAACAAACCCATATGCAGACGAGGGATGAAGGGTGTACTAATCGGTGCACAGGGGCCAAAACCCTCACCCTCTGGGCAATAATAATTCTAGCGGATGTAGAAATCAAACAACATGGACCCCCAAAAAGGGCGGCCGGCCTGAACGGTCATAACTTCGGCATGTAAGCCGTGGCACGTAGGCCGGCCCAGCCTCAGCACGTAGCTTCGGCCTTGTGGACACAACGACCGAACAGACCTGGAATAACATCCGTGGGCACAATCGCCCCCAAGGTATCATGGATAGACGCGTGCAGATAAACGCAACTCAGAGCCCACTGAAGCCAAGAACAAAAAACAACCCGATAAAAAAACGCCCCCGCCCAGGAGGGGGGAGTGAACCGTTGCGAGGCAGCCCTGGGAACCCCGTGCCACGGGGAGGGCAGGAAAGAGGAGGGAGGAGGAGGAGGAGGGGGGGGGACAAGGAGGAGGAGGAGGAGGAGGAGGAGGAGGAGGAGGAGGAGGGGCACGGGGAGGAGCCCAGACCCTGGCCACGCTACGGCTAACACCCCCCATGGAAAGGACCCCCAGGAGAGGAGTGAGCTTCTAGAGTGTTGTCCTGAATTATCGGGCTAACCCCTACGAGACGCCAAGAAGAGTGGCGGCCACGAAGGATCTGGAAGCCAGAAAGCGAGACAATTACAGAGCCCAAGAAGAATTCGCGCGGTGATCAGGCGCAACAACCTCCTGCCCCCGGAGCCCAAAGAGGGAGGGAGGATCCCCAGGGAATCCCAACGGCCTCCCCTGGAACTCTGGGGTGTTGCACGTTCCCGCCCCGCCAGGAAGGAGCCACGGAAAAACCAGGAAGAAGGGCACCCCCCGAAGAGGGAATGGGTTTGCCACCCCATGTTGAGAGCGTAAGAAAACAGAATAGGAACCAAAGATCACCCAGAAAAAAAAACATGATAGAGAAACCAATTAGGCAAATATAACCATTAGAACAAATACGCTCCTAGGGTCTTGTCCGGGATCACGCCCGCGAGGAGGACGACGTGCATCGGGATCCCGACTGTCGTCGTCGTCTTGAGATCAATGTCGTCGTACTCGTCATTGGTATCGTCGTCGTCGTTTTGAAATCAATATGGCTTGGGTCATGGGTGGGTGGGACACGTCCAACAGACTTCAAGCTTGGGCTAGTGGACCTTAAAACCCTAAACCCTAAACCCTAAAATGCAAGACACTGGCGCTGCAACGTCCATAGCCCGTGGCGCCTGGCCGAGCGCTCAGCGAGCCTGCTCATCTACAGAGTTCGCCGCACCGACGAAGCGCGTAGCGGTGAGGAGGAATTCGCACGCTGCGCGTGTATCCCCTCGGATGGTTCTGACAAAAGAATAGAACCCTTAACCCGAGGCCCAACCTAAGGTTTGCCACGACCTGCTACATCCCGTGGGGCTCCCAACCTATGAAAATACAGCATGCGGCGCCCTTTCGGCCGTCCATGGGGCTGCAACCCGCATGAGAATTCAGCATGCGGCACCCTCGGGACTCCTTCCCAAGGTCCCCACATTATCCCAAGCGAACCCAGGTGCTCCCACAAGCGCTCCCACGCGTTCTTCGGCGCTCCCAGGCGCTCCCAGGCGCTTCCAGGTGATCCCAGGCGCTCCCGCGTGTTCCCAGGCGCTCCCAAACTCTCCCCGGCATTCCCTGGCGCCCCAAAGCGCCCCCAAGCGTTCCCAGGCGCTTCCAAGCGCCCAGAGGCATTCCAAAGCGCCCCCAAGCAATCCACGGCATCCCCATGCGCTGCCAGGCGCTCCACGGCGCTCCCAGTCCCAAGCGCTGCCAGGCGCTTCCGGGCGCTCGCAAGCGGCTCCCAGGCGTTACCTGGCGCCCTCATGCGCTCTTAAGCGACTCCAGGGCGCCCCCAAGCGTTCCCAAGCGTTCAGAGGCGCTCCCTGGCGCTCCCCAAACAGTCCAAAGCGCTCCCAGGCGCTCCCTGGCGACGCTCCCCGGAGCTCAAAAGCGCCCCTGGGTACTTCCAAGCGCTCCCAAGCGCTCCCAGGCGCCCGCGAACGCTCCCCAGCGCTCCCAGGCGCTCCTCCGCCATGCAGGCGCTGCCGCAGCCATGCCCGCGCATCGTAGCGAGGGGGTGCCAAACACACACCCCTCCCGCCACCCCCCAGCCATGCGAAATTCGCACCGAGTGCGGCTGCGTCGGGAGTGCCATCGCCGCGGCGGGGCGACACCCACGGCGAAGCCCAACGGCGAGAGCGAGTGCAACCCTCCGCAGGTGCGCGCGCACCTTCTCAAACCAACCCCAAGCCGACGCGGAAGGTGCGCCCACGCGGCGGAGGAGAGCGCGAGGGGCCGCGCCAAGCACCCCCCTCGCAACCCACAGGGGGCCCGCCCCGTCGACCACCTCGCGCCGATCCCCAGCGGCGAAGCCCAAAGGCGGGGGCGAAGGCGACTGCCGTGCGCATCGCCGTCGGCGAGGAGCCCTCCGCGTCGCAGCCGCGCGCCCGCCCCCTCGCGAGCCTCCTCCCGCCATCCGGAGGGCGCCAGAGCAGCTCGGGAAAGCGAGCACGCGCGCCTGCACAGAGCGCACCGCGCGCGTACCCCAACGCAGGCGCGCTGCCCGAGCTGCGTCGGCCTGCTCGCAACAGCATGTTCGCCTGCGCGCCGAACACGATAGCCCCCCTTGATGAGGGGGGGGATAGAGACCCTAAACTCCAAAAGGCTTCACTGTGGGTGGCCTGGGGCGGGAATCAAAGTTCGGAGCGCGCGCGGCCTGGGCAGCGATCCCCCCCAACACTCTTGGTGAGGGGGGAATCGTAGCCAGCCCGCGCTTCCTCCAATGCAGGCCCTACACCCTGAACCCTAAACCCACAGGGGAAACAAATGCAGCGGACACCCATGCCAGTAAACACCCTGCTCGCCTCCAGGTTGCCCCGGGTTTCCTGGGGGCTCCGATGTTTTTTTTTCCTGGGCGTGGTAACACATTGAAACAACACGGCAGCTCGCGATGGCACACGATGTGCACGAGTTGCTGCAGGCGTGCAGGTACCCATGGATGCATCATCGCGTGAATATGTGTTGCGAACCGTGCCCTCCTCCCTGGGAGCCGACGCCACTGCAAGACTGCAGCACCGCAGCAAAACACGACTGAGCAGGAGGAGGAGGAGGAGGAAGAGGAGGAGTAGGAGGAGGAGGAGGAGGAGGAGGAGGAGGAGCAGCAGGAGGAGGAGGAGCAGCAGGAGGAGGAGAAGGTCCCCCAGGGGTCTGGGCCCCTCCCCTCGGGGGCGACGACGGGGGCGAATGGCCCACAGGGGGGCCACAGTTTCCATCGAGCAGGGGATCGACCACAGAACTCATTTGCCCCGAATTCGATTCCCTCGTCGAATCTGCAAAGACGCCGTGGCGTTTTCCATGGGATCGACCACAGAACTCAGTTGCCCCGAATTCGATTTCCTGGTCGAATCTACACAGACGACGACGTGGCATGTTCCATGGCTTCGGCGGAAAAACAAATGTTGGGACACATCGGTTCTGCAATCGATCCCCCACTCGAATCCCTGGGTCCAGGGGCGCCGATGATCTCCATGCCCTCGGCGAGGCTCCCCTGCGAATGCGCAGCACTCCCGCCCCTGGACGAGTCGCCCCCAACGCCGCCGCCGATTCCCCCCCCGGGAGCGGCTTCTCGTCCCGAGCCGTCCCTTGCACGGCCCCACGGCCCAGCGAGGGCCCCGGGGGCCAGAAGAGCCTGGTCCTACGCGAGATGGCACGGCGACCTCACGCCGCAGCTTACGCGGGCCGCCGGCGCCGCGCGCCACGTTGGAGACCAGGGCGCTTAGGCGGAACCCTACGCGGGAAGCTTACGCGCCAACGTCGGTGAAGACGACCCCCTTTTTTCTGCGCCGCTCACGAGGTACCCCAGAGGTTTGGACCCCTTCCCCCGGACTGGTTTTACTTCGTCCCGACTCGTTTTTGGACGGCCCTGGGGCCTGTCGAGGGTTTGGACCCCTTCCCCCGGACTAGTTTCACTCCGTCCCGACTCGTCTTTGGACGGCCCTGGGGCCTGTCGAGGGTTTGGACCCCTTCCCCCGGACTAGTTTCACTCCGTCCCGACTCGGTTTTGGACGGCCCTGGGGCCCGTCGAGGGCCCCCAGACAGAGGCCGAAGCCGCCCGAAGACTCCCCGCCGTGATTGCTGTCATGGCGCGAAGGGGTCTGGGGGAACGGTTTCCCCCGGGGCCGTAGGCGACCCGAGGAAGGGGAGGAGGAGGAGGAGGAGGAGGAGGAGGAGGAGGAGGAGGAGGAGGTGGAGGAGGGGGACGGGGAGGAGGAGGAGGAGGAGGAGGAGAAGGAGGGAGGAGGAGGACGAGGAGGAGGAGGAGGAGGAGGAGGCGGAGGAGGAGGAGGAGGACGGGTCGACTAAGCCCTTCGGGGAAACCCTCCAGGTCTGGGCTTTGCGCACCGCCAGGGGTGCCGCGGCTGCTCCCCGTCGGACACGACCTCGACCTCAACCTCCACGGCCCTGGACTTGGCACCCGCCCGCCCCCGAGCGCCGCCCCGCGGCGCCAGGAGCGCCGCGAGCGACCCCGCGACCAGCGCAACGGCGACGCCGCCTCGGCAGGGCAAGGAGTGCGCGCGCGCGCCCCACCCGTTTCATTGGATGCCAGATCTTGTCTGGTCGCGACCGACGAACTCGGTCGCTGCCGATTTGGCTGCAAATTCCGGTATCGGCCGCGACCGCTTTGCTTCAAAATCGGTCGCGACCGACTTTGGAATCGGCAGAGATCGGTCGCGAAGGACTTCGAGTGCCGATCGGTCGCTGCCGATCGCGACCGAAAAAAACTGGTATCCAATGATCTGAATATGTCCCGTCGGGCGGGGCTCACCTCGATCAGCCTGAAAACGCAGGTTAGCGCCCACGTGTGCTTGTCCACCGAAGCTCTTCCATTAGCGGGGTGAACCTGCGGGCGCCAAGAGCGAATTTCCCCAATCAGAGCTTGCCTCTGTAGGGGTCCTAGCGGATTCTAAAGGGTTCGGATTTGTGCGGCGCCGTTTCGGTGGCTGGCCGCGTGCCCGGGTGCCCGGGTGCCCCTGGGTCCCCGGTGCCCCAAGATTTCGGTGGCCCGTGGCCGGGTGCCCGGGTGCCCGGGTGCCCGTGGGTGCCCAGGTGCCCCGGTGCTCGGGGGTGCCCGGAGGTGCAGGGGGGTGCCCGGGTACCCTGTAGCCATATAGCCCTATAGCCCTATAGCCTGATAGCGCTATAGCCCAATAGCCCAATAGCCCAATAGCCCATATAGCACATGTAGCCTTATAGCCATGTAGCCTTATAGCCCTATAGCCCTATAGCCCTATAGCCCTATAGCTCTATGGCCCTATAGCCCTATAGCTCTATAGCCCTATAGCCCTATAGCCCTATAGCCCTATAGTCATGTAGCCCCTATAGTTCTATAGTATTGTAGCCCCATGTAGCCCAATAACCCAATAGCCCTATAGCACTTTACCCCTATAGCCATATAGCCCATATAACCAAATAGCCCCATAGCCATATAGCCCTATAGTCCTATAGCCCCATAGCCCCAACGAAAATCTGATTGGGTTTTTCCCGGGTATAATTCTAATCTTCACGGCCATAACGGGCACTGTGGGGGATAGAGGGGAGGCATAACGTAGCCCCCCCCCGCCCCCCAGACTGTAGTGCAGGAACGCACTGCGGCAGTGCCGGTGACGCACTGAGGGGGGGAGCGTTACGTCATGGAGGGGGAGGGAGGGGGAGGGGGAGGGTAGGGAGCATAACGCGCGTTATGGCCCGGAGGAAGGAAACAAACAAAAAACTCCAAGAATATACACCACCACCCACCACCTCCTTTCCCCCTCATTCCTCCCCCCTCCTCTTCCACTCCTCCCTCCTCGGAGACTCAGCGGGTGAGGGGGGCGGGGCGCCTCTTTCGGTGGCGCGCCCAACGGGATATATAGCGGCTTCCTAGATGGGGTCGGAGTAGATGGGGTCGGAGGATCGCGCCACATCGCCGATACATCGGCGATGTATCGGCGATGCATCGACGATGCACCAGCGATGCATCGGCGACGTTGGCGTGGAGCGGGTTCCACATCGAGCCGCATCGCCGATGCATCGGCGATGCATCGGCGATGCGGCGCAATCATCCGACCCCATCTACTCCGACCCCATCTGGGAGGCCTCGAGTATAGGCGGAGGGCGGAAGGCTTCTCGGAAGGAGGCTGGTCCTACATCCAGAGACGAGGCCCGCGCCTTCGGAGAGGCAGGGGCGCCTCCGAGAAGCCTCCCCGCCTCCCCGCACCACCCTGTGCGCGTGGGCGGCTCTTCCCGGGGGGGGGGCTTTCCGTCCCGACTCTCGTCTGAGTCTGGGGACGGCCCTGGGGCCACGGCATGGCCTCCAGAGGCCGAGAGCGCACAGGAAAACCGGCCGTGGCGTTTGTTGGGGGCCACGCCCCTGATCTTGGGCACGCCGACGCTGCGCCTCAGGAGTGGGCCTGGCCCGGGGAGGGGGCACGTGCACGGCTTTCGTCGCCCGAGCGCCCATGAGCTTGGGGCGGGCCGCCCAGGCAGGCAGGAAGCCCCAGCGCGAGCCTGCGGCGAGCTCCTGGAGGACAGCGATAGGGGGGGACTGGCACAGGGTGGGGAACATCGACCTGGAATCGGCGATATATATATATGTATATGTATATGTGTATACACATGTATACATATATCGCCGATAGATCGGCGACAGGCCCCCGACAGCAAATCCGAACGTCCCTGGGCGGGGTGGGGCGATCGCGCTCGTATCGCCGATCACTGGGGGGTCGATGCGTCCCCCCCTGGGCCTATCCTCCCCTATCGTTGCCCCTGCGCTCCTCAGGCGCCGGATCGCTGGCTGGGTTTCCGTCCAGCATGCCGCGGTTGGCGGTGCCCGGCAGGATCAGGCCAGCGCTCGCGTTCTCGGTGAGGTTGCCAAGCAGCGCGTCCACGAGCAGGGCGGTCGTCGTCACCGTCACGGTGCTGGTGTGCGTCGCCCTGATTGGGTGTGAGAACCGAGGGGTGCGGCCTTCTGGGAAGGCCTGCGGCTTCCTGCACACAGGAAGGGCTCGGCCGCTTCCAGCCGAGGCCCCCGACGTCATGTTCCGGTTCACAACGTGGAACCTCCGGAGTGCACGGTTTCCCCTGGGGCCGTAGGCGACTCGAGGAGGAGGAGGAGGAGGAGGAGGAGGAGGAGGAGGAGGAGTAGGTGAGGTGGGGGAGGGGACTGGGAGGAGTAGGTCGGGAGAGGGGAGGGAGGAGGAGGACGAGGAGGAGGAGTGAGGAGGAGAGGAGGCGGAGGCGGAAGGCGAGGATGAGGAGAGAGGAAGAGATGGGGCTGAGGGGGGGGGGAGGAGGAGGGAGGAGGAGTAGGTGGAGGAGAGATGAGGAGGAGGAGGGGAGGAGGAGGAGGAGGGGGAGGCAGGAGGAGAAGAAGAAGGAGGAGGAGAAAGAGGAGGAGGAGGACGGGTCGCCAAAGCCCTTCGGAGAAACCCTCCACCCCGGAGATCTCGGCCCACGCCCTGGGACCCGCGTTTTGTCCCGAGTCGCTCTTGAACGGTCCTGGGGCCCTGGCGTCCGGCCCGAGAGGCCGAGACTAGAGCGACACAGGCGAAGCAGCTTGTCCTGCCGTGCTCCGCGACGCCGAGGGGGCCTGGGCCCCCAGAGAGGCAGAGGGCTGCCTTCATCCTCCTCCTCCTCCTCCTCCTACCTCCCCTACCTCCTCCTCCTCCTCCCCTCCTCCTCCTCCTCCTCTCCTCCTCACTCCTCCTCCTCCTCCTCCTCCTCCATCCTCCTCCTCCCTCCTCCTCCTCCTCCCCTCCCCTCGTCCTCCTCCTCCCCCCCCAGGCCTCCCTCATCCTCCCCCCTCATCCTCCTCCTCCTCCTCCTCCTTCTCCTCTTGCCCCGCCGACCTCAGGAGTCCCCCCAACAAGCCGCCCATCAGCCCTGCGGCGGCCACGCCGCCGACCGTGCCGCCGATGATGCCCTTCTCGGCGTTCGTCAGCCCCCGGTGCGTCGTGGTGGCGTTCGTCTCGCTCCCGTCGGCCCCAGTCTCGTTCTCGTCGGCGTCGCCAGCGGAGGACTCGACGGCGGCGATTCGCACGCAGGTGAAGTTGGCATCGGAGTCGCCGACTGCCAGGTCTATGGACTGGACGGCGTGCCACCAGACCTGGCACTCGTTCTGGCCGTCCTCGTACTGGAAGCCCCTGCAGTACGACTTGTTGGAGCAGATGCCCTGGCACTGGGCGAGCGAGCCGGCCGCAAAAGTCCAGTAGAACTTGTTGAAGCCCGCGGAGTCGCTCGCGTGCTCCGCGGCGCACCTGAAGCCCGGAGCGGCCTGCTCAAACTGGATGCTGTCGTGTGCAGCGTCCCAGCCTCCGGTGGCCAGAAAGGGGCCGACACCGCTGCTCCCCAGACCTCCTCGGGGGTGGGCTAGGGTCAGGACTGCGAGGCGAGTCCGGCCGCGATGACAAGGGAAGCGTCGCGGCATCAGGGTGGGGGAGGAGGGGGATCTGGCTCTGGACCTCTGCTTCGTGCGACTGTTTGCAAGAGTGCGTCCTACGAGGGGAGACCCCACCTGCTCGAAACAGGCCAAAAAAACAGCCAAGGTCTACTCCATGGGGGGGGGAGGGGGGGGTTGGGGGCCCGCCCCGATCGGCGAAACAATGAGTAAAGAAACGATCACCGTCTGAAGCCTGCCAGCTCGGTGTCTATCAGCATCGCCACGCTCTCCCTGGTCTCGCTCGCGCTGCAGTTGGCCACGGACACGCCCGCCCGCCCCGCGACCCACGCGTGGGGCATGCAGAGCGCCTCGCCATCGACCGTGCACCTCTCGCCGCCGCACCACGCACAGGGCTGGCCCGAGACCGCGAGGCCGTCCCAGCTCGCCCAGGGGCGACCTCAGTAGGCGGAGGGATTTCGTCACGTGATGCGAAGTTCCCCCTTCCCCACCGAAACCCCCTCCTCTCCCCCCTCTTGATATCCTCCTCCCTCATCCTCCTCGTCCTCCTCCTCCTCCTCCTCCTCCTCCTCCTCTACTCACTCCTCCTCCTCCTCCTCCTCCCTTCCTCCTCCTCCTCCTCTTGATATCCTCCTCCTCCTCCTCCTCCCTCCTCCTCCTCCTCCTCCTCCTACCTCCTCCTCCTCCCTCCTCATCCTCCTCACTGCTCCTCCTCCTCCTCCTCCTACTCCTACTCCTACTCCTACTCCTACTCCTACTCCTACTCCTACTCCTATCCTTGTTCCTTATTAGAATATACTCCTACTCCCCCCTCAGGCCGGCAGATAGGGGCCGCATCCGGGTGGTCCCATCCTAACCTGTAAAAAACAATACAAAATCAACATTTTTCTTATTTTTTCCTCTCGACATGGACGTCCTGTCGTCCACGGCGATAATCCATTGCAAAAAAATACCACAAAGAGCACACGCGCGCGTTCATGTCAGAATCCTACCGAACACCGTGTTTGTGCAAGCATTTCAACATAAAAACATCACAAACCCAATGTTTTTTCACAAAAATTGTACAAATTTCCCGCCCGGGCTCTCTTGCTGAAATCATAGGAAAACCATAGGAATCTTAAGAATTCTGTCAAATCCAGCGATTTCACGTCATCGCGCGGTGCACTCGCGATGCTCTGTCATGCACCCAGGCCGCGAATCCTGTGCAAAAAATACAACAAAGAGCACACTCGCGCGTTCATGTCAGAATCCTACCGAACACCGTGTGTTTGCAAGCATTTCAACATAAAAACATCAAAAACCCAATGCTTTGTTCACAAAAATGCTTTGGGGTGTCCTGTCAGACCGTCGGGCTTCCTCCGGCCACCTCTGGCTTCCTGCGGTGTACCGGGCCATTCTCGACTCGTCTGGCAATGCTTGCGCGGCATTCAACACGCGCTCGCCAGTTCCCGTCGGCAACCGCCATCGCGGCCGCATCAGCTGTACCAAACCGGCTGGCCGGTGTGACTTCGGCCCCCAGTTGTGCCAGCTTTGCTTCTTATGTTGTGGGAGGGCGGGGGGGACTGGGCATGCCATGCTTGACTCGCTCGAGCTGGCTAGCTTGACTCCTACTCCTACTCCTACTCCTACTCCTACTCCTCCTCCGATTCGCATCATGTGACGGATCCAAGTCACCGACTCAGGGGCGACGGGCACGTCCGTGTCCATGCCGCCGCGGCCGCGATGCCGAGGCGCGATCCCGTGGGGAGGCGCGATCCCGTGGAGACGCGCTCCGCGCGGGGCAAGGCGCGCCGATGGCCGCCCTGCCTCCGATGGGGCCGCGGCCAGAGGGGCCCGGACCGCGAGGCGGCGGACCCGGGCACGGGCGGGCTCGCGCCGTGGCGACGCGGGGCGGTGAGGAGAAGAAAGAGGAGGAGGGGGAGGAGGAGGAGGAGGAGGAGGAGGAGGTGGAGGAGGAGGAGGAGGAGGAGGAGGAGGAGGAGGAGGAGGAGGAGGTGGAGGAGGAGGAGGAGGAGGAGGAGGAGGAGGAGCAGGAGGAGGAGGAGGAGGAGGAGGAGGGAGGGGAGGGAGGAGGGGGAGGAGGGAAGAGGAGGTTTCGGACACCGCGTGGACCGCTCCAAGCCTGGACGAGCGCGGCCGTCCGACGGCGCAGGAGCCCTCGTTGCTGGCCGAGGGCGGCCGATGGGGTGCAGCCCTGCACTCCCGCGCGGGGGGGCCGTCGCCGCGAGTCGGCGCGGCACGGAGCTGCAGAGCCCAGAACTCCGGCGCCGTGTTTTCCCCCCAGGCGCGGATTGGCGGCGCGCAGGAGGGGGGGGGGGGGAGGGGGGAAGGCTTCTTTAGAAGGAGGTCTGCTTCTTAGAGGGCCGCGGGCCTACATTTGCAGACAAGGCCCGCGCCTTCTAAGAAGCAGGGGTGCTTCTAAGAAGCCTTCCCCCCTCCCCCCACCCCCCTCTGCGCGTGGCTGAGCGGACCCCTCAAGGTCTGAACCTTGATGCCCGGGATCTTCGTTTCATCCTGGGGTCGTCGTTCGGCAATCCTGGGGCCAGGCGGGGGCCCTCGGAAGGCGAAAACGGCCAAAAGCCTCCTGACGAGCTTATTCTGTTTCAAAACGATGGTCTGTGGGGTATGGCAGGTTCGCGTCGTGACGGCCGCGGCGATCGATGCTGACACCGCGTGGATGGTTCAACCCCGACGCGGCTTCCCGACAGCGCAGATCGTTCGAAGTCGGCCGATTCCAGGCCCCTGATGGCGTTCAACCTCGAACGCCCGCGCTGGGGTCGCCGCCGCATCGACACGACACGATGCCTGCTTCCCAGACCCCCGACGCCATGATTTTTGTCTATCACGTGGACCCCCAGAGGTCTCGACCCACTCCCCCGGGACCGACTCGTCGTTCTGGATCGTCGTTGACCGTCCAGGGGCCCAGCGAGGGTCCCTGGAGGCAGAAGATCTGTCAACGCAAGGGGGTCTGGGCAAGAGCCTGCTGCATGTTCCTCGCCCAGGTGGCGACCGTCGCGCTTCCCGAGGCAGGACCCGCGGTCGCGCAGGCTGTCGCAGCCCTCGTGGAGGGGGAGCGTCAGGGGGGGACCAGCTCAGGGAGGGGGGGGGACATCGAGGTGGAATCGGCGGTACCTCGCCGACAGATCGACGATAGGCCCCGGATGGCAGATCCGCACGCTCCTGGGCGGGGCGGGCTATCGGGCCCCTGTCGGCGATAGATGGGCGATTGGGGGTCGATGCATCCCCAGAAGGAAAACTGCAGACATGTAAACTTTCGACGGCCCGCGCGGATTTCTTGGATCTGTGCCAGAGGCGCCGCCAGGGTGGTCCAGCGCGGGTCCTGGGAAACCGCGCGGACCGTCGAATGCTTCTGTTCATGCCGTTTTGTTCTTCTTCGACCCCCGCCTGAGCTTAGGTCGGGCGTGTCCCCCTACAGGTGGGTTTTCGACGAAAAAGAATAAGATACCCCAAAAATGCTCCCCAAATGTCCAGAAATAGTCAAAGAAACATCGTCCCCTGACTATTTTCGGGGAGACGTAAGACTCGGGTACGGGGGACTCGGGTTGGCCCGACGGGGCCCTCATAAAAATGACTAGGGCCAATCTGAAATTTGACGCGAGCTCCCGCTGCAGACATCCCACGAAAACTGGACCGTCAAAATCCAGGACGCGCTCGTCAAAAAAAGTAAGCAAACCCGAGTTCCGGCTTACTCGGGTCTTGCGTTTCCCCGATAGTTTGTTTTTACTACTCTTGAATATTCCTCCTGCCGAGGGACAGGCCCGACGCAACCCTGAGCCTACCCCGCCCCTGACGTTGCCCCCGACCTCTCGGGTCGGGCAAAAGGGGGGGATAGCAAAGGGGGGGGGTGAGAATCAGCTCACGTAGCTGATTCTCCCGGCGCCTCCCGGCGCCGGGAGGCGCCCATGTATCGAGGACTGGGCCCCTCGGTGGGGCCGAAACCAGCTGCATGCAGCAGATTTCGTAACCCCCCCTTTCCCAACCCCCCCCTTTCGCCCGGCCCGACTGACGCTGCCCCCGACCTCGCCCTCCCACAGCAGGCAGCCCGCCGCCGCGCCGCCCGCCCGGGAGCCCCCCGCGGCCTCGGCCGGCCCGAGGCCTGGGCCGGAGACCTCCGCCGCTGCCCGCCGCCTCGCCTGGGGACCGTCCAGGGGGCCCAAGGGCACACGAATAGATGCACACAAACAGCAGGATCCCCCATATTTTCTCATATTTTCGGAGCTGTTGTTTTCCCCCCCGACGTCCCATATTTTCCTATATATTTTTTCTGGGGTTTTCGTCTTCCCCCCCACGTCCCATACTTTCCCTTTATTCTCTGGGGGATCGACGCTGGATGGTGTCTGTGTGTTTTTGCTTCCCTCCCGAGACCAGGCGGGCGAGCCAGGGCATCGCCCGCCGGCGTGCGCAGCAGAAGAAAACACACGCTACCAACAGAAGCTCGCGGCGCTCCGCGCGGACTGCTCGGATCTGCGCTGGGCCCCCCCTTGCCTGGCGCGCGGAGCGCGCCCCAGGGGCGGCGCCGGAGGCGCCGCCAGGGGGCCCCAGCGCAGATCCAAGACATCCGCGCACGCAGGCTACAGCCGGGATCGATTGGATAGGACACGCGACAGGACGCAAGACCCTTCCGAGGGCCACGCTGCCATGGGAATGTAGGAGGCACGGGTCGCGACACACAGGGCACAAGGGTACCCTTGATTGGCAGGGTCGACCTACTAATCGACCTCGACTGTAGAGGAACAGCCACGCAAGGGCCCTCGGCACAGCGAGCCCCTTTCCGAACCCCAAACGGTCCTTCTTGTCCGCATCTCGACTGCAGTGCAGGCGACGTCCGAGCCCTGCCGTCATCGAGGATCGATTCTCCTGAACCGTTCGGATGCGGAGATATAGGAGGCCAGATGCGAGCCCTACCCCTACCCCCCACGATTTCTGAGGGGCAGGGTGGGGTTCACTTCGCTCGGGAGCTCCCGAACGAAGTGAACCCCACCCTCCCCCTCAGAAATCGTGGAGGGTAGGGGTAGGGTTCGCATGTGACCCCCTAGATAGGGGTTCGGATTTCGCCACTTGCTCGACGAAGTCCGAACCTTACCTCGGCCGCCCTTCGAATCGCTCACATCGTCGATCGGCGAGGGTAGGGTTCGGATTTCGCCGACGACAGGGACCCGAAAGCGGCCGACGTCGAAGTCTCTGCGCTGTCGGTACGCTCGAGAATGCACTATCCACGCGGCGTCAGAAACGATAACCGAGGTCGTCACGCCGCGAACCTGCCGTACCCCACCTCCTGTCGTGAACGAACAACAGATAATGTTTAAACCAGTTGCGGCCTCTAGGGTCCCTTGCCGGGCCCAAGGACGGTCAAAAAAGGACTCTGGATGAAAAGCCTGTCATGTGGGAAAAAATCCAAACCTCCAGGGATCCTAGCTG